ACCACCGCAGTCAGCAGAGCCTGTAGGACCTGACCATGCCACGGAACCGCCGCCGGAATCTCAACAAGAACCCCAAGCGAAAGCGACGCCTTCTCCGCCAGGCGAGAAAACAAGAGACAAGCGCAAGAGGCGTACATCCCAGGATAGTGAAGCTTCTTCGCGCCGTTCTCCGCGTCGCTCTCCGCAGGGCTCGCCGCAAAACGCCGTGAGCGCCAAGGCAGCAAATGTGGAAAATTCGCAGGTGTCAGAAGCAATGGATATATCACCGGATGGGAAATCACCAGTCACAGCGTCACCAAAACTTGCTGCGCCTGATGCTACCGGGAGCAAACAGGACGATACCGAGCCTCAGGCTACTAGTGAAGCGCAGATACCCGCAGCGCAAATACACAGCGAAGAACATACTACCACTGCAGGCGATATCACACAACAACACATTGTTAGCGAGGCTGAAGCCACCGGATCTCCAATTGCAACCCAACCTCAAGAGGCAGCTGAGCCTCAAGATGCCGTCGAACCCGAAGAGACGAATGGCATCGAGAAAGCGGCCGAGCCTCATGCTACTACAGCACAGACAAAGTCTCCAACACCTCCAAGAGCCAAACGAACGAGAGGCCAACGTGCAGCATCCGTTCAACCGCAGTCAACAACTGCCAAACAGTCTAGGCTGGCCAGAGCCGGCTCAGCAGAAAGCGCCCCGGCTCAAGGTATGGAGAGAAAGAGGCTTCGTGGACGTATCGCGAAGGGCCAGGAGCCTACGCCCGATATTCCTACAATAGAAGAAGAACCAGCCAATGACACTGGTGTGAATATTTCATCCGAGTCAAAGGACGATCTTGTGGCCAACAAGGGAAGTCGGCAATCAAGGCTGCCAAGACCAACGGTGGACAAGAAGCCGATGCGCGCTGGACGCCCCGGAAGAAAACCGGCACGATCACAGGATATTCAGGAAGAAGTGCCTCTGCCTGAGCAAGAGGGGCAGCAGCCGGAAGAGCAGGAGCCTGAGCCTGAGCCTGAGCCAAAGTCCAAGCCCGTCCCAGAACCCGAAACAGATCTACAGCCGGAAGCACCGACAGAACCCATACCATCAAGGCCTGGCAGACGTGGTCGCGGCAGGAAACCATTGCCAGAGACTACAGTTGATGAAACACAGGCTCCGAACGAAGAGATACCAGCACAAGCCGATCAGGCTGAGCCTGAAACAGAAATACATTCGGCACAACCAACAGAACCTTCTAAGCCTGCTAAACGTGGCCGTGGCAGGAAACCGCTGTTAAGGAAAGAGAACGATACAGCGCAAGCTGAGGCAGTCGAGCCGGAACCTGTACCAGAGCCCGAAGAAGAACCACAGCCGGAGCCTCCAGCGGAGCCCGAACCGTCCAGGCCTGCCAAACGTGCTCGCGGCCGTAGACCGGCGTCAAAGGAAAATGCTGAGACAACACAGGCTCCGGCTGAAGAAGCTACAACACAAGCAGAGCCGGCGGAGCCCACCGAAGAAGCACCTCCACCTAAGAAGCGCAAGCCCAGACAGCCTCGGGGAGAAACAGTGCCAGTAACTGTCCACCGCTTCGTGAACGCCGCTGTACTTGGAGAAGGACCAGAACCAGAGGGATCATCGGACGAGGAAGAGGAGTCAGCCGAGGGACTCGCAGCGAAAGAGAAGACCAAGCTTGTGAGCCGAGGCGGCGTCAACGCAGCAGACGTACTAAGCCAGATCTGCCGCGAGACTTTAGAAAAGACGCTTGCAACACTCAAGAACGGGATCGCCAATGAAGGCAACGCCGCCCGGCGTGCAGAATGGACCCGCAAGAAGAAGGCCGTCGAGGCCTACGGCACGGAACTTGAGGGCCGTCTTTTCGAACTGAGCGAAATGCTCGACAGTAACTTTGTTCTCGGACGCCAAATCAAGAAGTCCAAACGGGAGATGATGGATCTGCGGAGCCGACTATACCGCGTCCGGAAGGAACGAGAGGAAGTGGCATTGCAAATGGACGCCGTACGGAGGAAGCACAGCGAGGAAGAGAATGCCAAAATGGTAAGCAAGCAAGCAAGCAGATTCCAGATATACCCTAAGCATTGCTAACAAACTCTCCACTAGGCCCGCTCAACCATCAACAACTCCCTCCACAGTCTGGACCTCGCTCTCGAGCGCAGCCGCAATCGCCCCGTCGACGAATCCACCTCCCCGAACCCCGAACCTCCCTCCACAGCCGGACTGGAGTTCCTTGTCCGCAACGTTGCGGAGAACGTGAGCTCCATCGCCCCCGGAGCTCAAGGCGGTCTGTTACATCAGATCAAGTCATTCAACGCACAGCTCGAGGCTACTGCGCGGAGACTTGAGAGTTGATTTATTGATAACTCGACATGAGTACTTGTCTAACCTCTTTATTTATATGTTCTTTGATATGATGATTGTAAAGCTGTGTCTGTGTCTGTGTTTTGTTTCGAATCAAATACCCCTGGCATTGTTGTCTACGGAGTGAGGGTCATGTTCTTTGCTAGTTGGATAGGAATGAATCAGAATAAGGATGATGAGATCAAATGATGATTGTGATAGATATATCCAGCTTTTCGTACTACCTCACTTTTCACATCACTGACACCATATACAACACCAACATTATCACCATAAAATGCGAAATAACCAGCCCAAGAAAATAATTAATAACCTATAGATAGATAGATTATTATCCAACTACCCCATCATCACCGTCACCTCAAACCCCCACAAAAAAACTAATTATATCAACTAAGATCACCCCCTAGTTATAACTAAGCAACCCGCAAATAACTAATCACTTCAACCTCCTCGGCCTAAGCAAAGACCGAGCGAAGGGAACAACCTATCTCCGCCCGTAAATCCGGCAGAGTAAGTAGTACGTAGCTACAAAGTAAGGTTTGATTGAACCAGTAACGTAGGTTGTTGCATTTGTCAGCTAACGTAAGCCATGTGGCCGCCACCCGCAAATTCAACTACGTACTTGTGGGGCTGAGGAAATTCTGCAGGAATTGTTTCTTTGTCTTAGTAATGTTTAGTCTAAGTCAGTCTTGGTTAGTGCTTATGTGTAGATTAGCAATTGGATAGATGGGATTGTTGGGTAGTTGGGTGTTTTCTTATCTTCTAAACTAGGATTCTATTTCGATGTGGGATGTATGTTTCAATAATACTACATACATAAGAAGGGGTCCATATGATCAATATAATGCTTGTGTTGTTGCTTGCTGTGTGTGGTTCGGTTCGGATCTTTGGGAGAGCAGAAGTGCCGATGGATCCGTGGATGGAAGAGAGAGAGAGAGAGAAGTTCATGCAGGGTCTTCTTCCTTCGTTGTATCAATGTCAGCTTCGGAAAATAGTTCAGCTTCGTTGATGATAGGTTAGGAAAATCATTTTCGAAGGATTTATGGATTTGACTTTGTTTAAACCCTCAATTTGTATGTAATCGCAGCAATGCTACGCTAATATCCATCTTTTCTCCCTGATTAGAAATCCAAGGTGTGGATCTTCTCTCCATCTGGTTCCATTAATTTTTTTTCCACCCCCCTTTGACCCCTCGTCCCGAGATATGGGTTGTATGGTTATGGCGTGCCACAGGGGATTAGTAGTTGTTTCCAGAATAAATATCGAGTCAGTGTGTGTGTGGCCCTGTCTTTGGGGGGTATATAAGTAACAGCTTTCATCTCCTCATTCCTCTCTTCTCTTCTGTATCAAAATACAAACCTTTTTCATATAGAACAGTCGTTCATATAGACCATCACCATCATCATCATCATCATGACCAAGTTGTTCTCCCCCATCCAGGTCGGCCGCATGCCCCTGGCCCACCGTCTCGCCATGGCTCCCATGACCCGATTCCGTGTCGACGACAACCACGTCCCCCTTGACCTTGTGACGCAGCACTACGAGCAGCGTGCTGCTGTCCCCGGAACCCTCTTGATCACGGAAGCCACCATTATTGCGCCCAATGCTGGCGGATACCCCAATGTTCCCGGCATCTGGAACGAAGCGCAGATTGCGCAGTGGCGCAAGGTCACCGATGCCGTCCACAAGAAGGGCTCGTACATCTACATGCAGCTCTGGGCCCTGGGTCGCGTCGCCAACCCGCAATTCCTGAAGGCCAACGGCAACTATGACGTCGTGTCTAGCAGCCCTGTTGCTTTCGAGGATGGCCCCGTTCCTCGCGAATTGACCGAGGCGGAGATCCACCAATACATTGCCGACTATGCGCAGGCAGCGAAGAATGCCATTGCGGCTGGATTTGACGGCGTCGAGATCCATGGTGCCAACGGGTACTTGATTGATCAGTTCACTCAGGACACCGTTAACAAGCGTACCGATGCCTGGGGTGGAAGCGTTGAGAACCGTTCCAGGTTCGCTCTTGAGGTTATCCGTGCTGTGTCTGATGCTATTGGTGCGGACCGCACTGCTATCCGCTACAGCCCTTTCAGTACTTTCCAGGGTATGCGCATGGATGATCGCATTGCTCAGTTCACTCACCTGGCTGAGAAGACCGCCGAATTCAAGCTGGCCTTTGTGCATCTTGTCGAGCCACGCATCGCCGGAAATGCCGCTGAGAAGACGGTTTCGGAGGACGATTCTCTGGATTTCTTCGTCAAGGCGTACCGCGACGCTAGCCCCCTCGTTGTTGCCGGTGGCTACAAGGCTGATACGGCCAAGGAGGCGGTTGATGTGCAGTACAAGGATCACGAGGTCCTTGTTGGAATTGGCCGCCCCTGGACCGCTAACCCTGACCTGCCGTTCATGATCCAGAACAACATTCCTCTCCGCCCCTATGAGAGAGAGGTCTTCTACTTGCCCAAGGACCCCAAGGGTTACATTGATTATGACTTCAGCGAAGAGTTCAAGGCCGTCAAGGTTGCTGCTTGATCAGGTTTGAGATTGTTATTCAAACTTTGTGGCATGATCGTTGAGCGCTTGCATATAGTATATTGATTTCATTTGTATATACCATAATAGACATGACATTAATCTTCTTCTTAGCTCAGTGTTTATACTGTAGACCATGTTAGTACTGCTACAATTACCAAAAAGATACGCGCTCACTCTAAACTCAAGGTTCTCCTTGTCTGTAAGGTCCAAAAACTCGGAATTCTCTTCATGTTGAAGCCCTGTACACTTTCTATCGCGCCGTCGGTTCTCCCAGATGTAGTAGCACTTGAGAGCCACGGTGAACACTATCGCAACAGAGACAGTGGCCACAATGGCGATCTTAGCTGGCATGTACTCTGGCTCGTCCTCAGTGCGAAACGACAACGGGCCTAGTATGTTGCCCAGGCAGAACGCCATCAGGACGATTGCATTCATGGTCACTTTCTTGGTATGACCGGCGACATTCGCGCCGACGGTAGAATAAAGTAAGGGAAGTGCTGAGCCCACGCAGTTGGTCAGGTAGTTTCCTGCCAGCTTGGCGCCTTTGTTGTCACTCGGAGCGAATGCCATGAGACAGCCTCCAAGGAGGCCAGAGCATAGAATGCCGATGATGCAGAAACACCGCTGGTCGAAGCGACCTGCCAGGTATGTACCGAGTAGAATGCTTATCACGCTGACGACACCGCCCGGTATCGTAAGTAGCTCAGTCTCCTTGGTGTCGAATCCGAAATTCTTGATGATCAAGGCCGAGAAGCTGCTGATGGCTGCATTACTGATATTCCCCGAGGCAACTATTATAGCGATCAGGTAGGTCTGAGGGTCTTTGAAAGCCTCGAAGAATTGCTCCCATTTGAAATGCTTGTTCTCGATACCCGTCCGATTCTCGCGAAGACGCTCAATTACCATTAACTTCTCTTCATGGCTAAGGCGAGACTTCATAGGATTGTCTGGAAAGACAACAATAACTGTGATCCCAACTGCGATAGTAATGAGCCCGAAGATCAAGAACATGATCTGCCAGGAGTAAAATTTGTCTCCTTCGTAGAAAAGCAGCCCGTATGCAACGAGGGCGCCTAATATGGTCGCGGTACCTGTGCCCAGGTACCAGAAACCGATGCGCTTAGGTTGTTCTTCACTAGGTTAGTGAATATGAATTGATCAGCGGGGTTTATTGCATACCGTTCCTCTTGTACCACATGGAGGTTATCAGAATCAACCTAATCTCGTTAGGCAAGTCCTTGATACGTTAGATGGTGTCTTACGCAGGTGCTACAGCACTTTCGAAACATCCTAGGAGCACTCGAAGAACGACGAGTCCGGAAAAGTTCTTCGCAACACAATTCAGAGTTGTCAAAAGGCCCCAGAGGGTCACTTATTCGTCAGCATCGCCAATATGGGATGATTGAGTGTCTTACCATTCATTCCCAAGTACTTTGCAGTTGGCAAACGCTGCATGAAATACCCAGTTGGAAGTTCAAAGAAGAGGTATGATACGTAGAATGCCAAAGCGAGGTTTGAGAATTGGTCTGTCCGCATGCCAGTGTCATCAAGAAGGCCCATGACCGATGCATAATTGACTGCAACCGTTTAGCTTCTGGGTCGAATAGAGCACGCTGTCGCGACACACTGACTTAGAATTTTGTCTAGGTATTGCAGAAAGTAGATCGCCCACATTAGGGGCACAACCATCCAGTCGATCTTGCGAACCAGCCTTTTCTCATCGATATCAGAGAAAGTTGCCACCTCGCCAGCATGAAGGTACTCCAGTGCTGCATCAGCCTGGCCAAGAGATACATGACCGTCGACCTTCGATTCGGTGTCAACTGCACTTGTGGCGACTAACTTGTCATCTTTTCCTGATGTAGAAAGTGTCATGGTTTCCGCCATCTTCCCCATCTGATGGTCCTTAATGGTTGTACGCAGCTGAAGATTACTTTGGCAAAATGAGATACTTCGCAGGGGAAGCCATCTCTCTGCACCTTTTTTATACCCTACTGGCTTTCAAGGGCTTGGAACTGCTATCGCTCTGATAACCTGATATGCTTGTGCAAGCGCCTGCCAATTGTGAAAAGGTAATGTGCTCGGCCGACTGATTGCACATCCTGATTGCTTTGATTGGCCCCCAGATTTGGTCTTCATCAACTAGCGGCTATTTAGCAGTATGAAATGGGATGGTTTGACCCCTTCGAAGATTGATAACCCCGCCGGCTTCTATATCAATCAGTATCTGATCAGGCTATTGGAGGACCCAATCCCTGCAAAAGCTCGAAGCCTCCCATATAGCTGAATCTACGCAGCCCATATCGTTGCTGGACTGTGAGTTCTAATAGATATTGGGCAATGAGCCACGTGTGAGCACGCTTGTAAGTCATAGCCAGCTTTGAGTGACAGCTGGCCGGTCGATATCAATCAACATCACCTGACAGGCAGCGCGCAAAGCACCTTCTCTTTGAAGTTAGTCAGGAAGTAAAGATACTGGTAGAGATTGATATCACTGATAAAGACCCTGAATGTCAAGACCATCAGGATGATCGCTCCAGAAAGAGAAGGTCGTAAGCCGGTTTTCACGGGGATATCGTGTCTGCAGCTTATCAACCCCGCACGACGCGAATCTGTCAAGATAATGGCAGACACCTTATCACTCTTCGACGCATCGCGTCCTCGGATCTTCTTTCGACAATAAGTCTAGACTGCCCAGTTACCAAGTCATGGCTCAATGAATATGTGGTGAGGTTCTGGGTGCGATGCGACCGAGGTGGGGCATAACAGCAATGCAGATGAATCAGAATGCATGGATGCAACCATAGCTTCTAAGCTGCTAGTCTGTCTTTCAACTTCTGATTAGTACGCTCAGAGTCATTGTGATGCAGTTCGCCTTCGCGTACTCGCTTCTGCAGAGCAAGATCACAGTCGACGCAGCAGTTTTCGGCAGATACCATTGTGGCGATGGTATGATCTATGAAGGTATCTTATTCTGCATCTTGAGCTGTGCTGGCTGTGGGAGAGTAAGTAAGCAATTAAGAGAAGAGAGTTGCGATCAAAAATGGGAGTGTTGATGTGTCGGCGAGTTTTTGCTTGTTTTGGCTGTTCTACTGTCTGGTTGACATGCACGTGCTGCATCAGCAAAAGCAATAAGTAAAGCTCGCCCCATCCAGCGACAGCAAATCCCGATCACTGCAGCTCATGATCTTCGGAGCAGCATCTGGTCTATCAACAAATTTGTCATTTTCTCAATCGGTCATCATGCCACTATCGAGTCGGTGAAGCGCATGAAGAACGACAGTTCGTCTCGAAGGCTTCCCAACACCCCGCCGCTTTCCTACTATCGAAGGATAGAGCCGAGGAATCCACATTCCACTTGGACCCTCGATAGTCATAGACGCCAATTCCGTGATGGCGCTGCCTCTGCTGGTGAGGAAACCGGAAGGATGCCAGACCGCTTCTTCTGTAGATCTTCCTCCCCACTTCAACAAACACCATCACTCGATCCAACCATCATCCCACCAAAGATCGTCACAGACGCCGGCTGTGATTGACTTTGAACGAATTGTGACTATGTTAGCTTGCCACCTGGTTGGCATGTGGTGATGGGGCTAAGATAGCCCGAAGGCGCGTGGGTGAAAGACAAAGATCTACAAAGCGTCATGCTTAGACGGCACGGGATTCTAGCAACCCATCTAGCCATTTACTGACTAGTAAGCGAATATTACTTGCTGTTTTTGCTTTGTTGCGTGAACTATGGAGCCGTGAGCATTTGGACTGAATTCTACTTTCGCTTCAGATTCGAAGATTCTACTCGAATGTGGACCGGCTTAACCTGGCCACGGACAAACCCGGTTTCCTGCCCCAGCCGCCTACTTTCCCCAACCTCGATACAATGGCCATTGTCCAGGACCTACTCCACCAGCTGTAACTCAAAAATGGGCGTAGCAGAGATAACGAAGGTGGAAGAAGAGCAGAAAAAAAAATACACACACAGAAATTGCATCATTGTCGAATATCGAGTGGGTTCTAAACCTGGAGTGAGCAATACGGCAAGTGTACTATCAGAAGCACTGCCGCGACTTCTGGAACCGTCTCCCAGCCAGTCATATCCGAGAATTCAAGTTGCCGCATCTCCGCAGGCGGGGACCAGGCTCAAGAAGGACAAAGAGAAGCCTTCGACGAAAAAAGCAAGAAGAACATGAGAGTTGAATTTTTCCCCTACAAGCTACAGTGGACCCCAATACGAGTCCTTCCAAATGTGGCGCATAGCTTCTTGGAAAGAGAGCTCCAGATTTATTCGAATTTGAACGTAAGATTTTGGTTTGTTTCTCCGCTCCGCCGAGCCGAGGGTATAGAGCCACACGTCTCATCATTTGTCGATTGCCCAGGCAGGATCTATACCAAGCCACCTCTACGAAGTGGTCGCGGGGAACGGGAAATCCCCAGACCCCAAGGAGAACCCAAGGATGATGGCCATCCACAGCCCAATTTCCAGGGTCTCGGTACCAGCAGCGTGGATGTGGAACCGACCAGACAACAAACAAGGGCGGTCCGGACGCAAGGAATGTTACATCATCCATGGTTTGACCTTGCAAATGCTGGGTGATCTCACGGATTCAGAGATGACAAATCGGGCACAGCTTCTGAGACTTCCTAGTAACCGTAACTAGCGAAATTAGGCGTCGGCAGCGTTAGAGAGCATCGTGTCAGCTCGATCTGCTAGCAATATCAGATTCAAAATCCCCTCCCTCCGATAAGCCGTCGATCCCCCTCACTTCTCATCATCCCGTGACCTTGTGCAGGCTGTCTACCCCAACATCCCATGCAGCCACGATCCACGGCCGTGCCCATTGCCCATCATCAATAGTCAGATCCTTTGCCCAGACAGTGGATCGTCGACAGGGTCATACTCATTTCAAGTGTGTGGCCCGTACCAAGATGCAATGAGTGGATGTCCTTCCCAAAGTAGCATGTCTGCACACAGGGATATCCCTTGAACCGTATCCGAAAAAGAAAAGAGGAAATGCCTACCAAAGTATACGTCTCAGGCAAAAGCAACTCCTCAGCTGCATCTACGAGTCCAAAATTGGAACACAGTGACGTGGACCACTAACGCACCAGGATCCTGCAATTCCCCCGCAGAACCAGCAGATAGGCAACCAAGCAGATACTCCACGGGATTAAGCAATAGAGCTAAGTAATGCACCACGTGGGTGTGCACATGTACATGGTACATATTCTCCCACCTACTTTGTGTGCTTATTCTGTGTACCATGCGGAGAAATAGTACTTCTCCGAATACCAGGATATGCAGGATTATTCCCCTCATCTGCTGCTCACACATTACGGAAAATGATATTCACATCTATGAGGGGTAAGTAGGATGCAAGATACATACACAAGCTGCATAATAAATCCCATTAATAGATTCTAAACATTACACCAGAGTGCAAGTCACACATGTGATAAAAAAAAAAAAAAGAAATAGACCGAAAATTAACATTCAATAGATTGGAAAAATCTTCCGTCACACGGACATATACCAACAAGAAATATATTTATTTTTTCTTTCTTCACTTGCCCGATGGAATTACATCATACTACAAAAACCTTTTTTTCCAAAGTCAAGATAATCGATAGTACTACCGTGCTAAATAGTAGATAGTAGATAGAACCCGATTAAACTTTGAATTCCTACAAGGCATGATAAACCTAGAATAGGATTTACAATAGTACTACTATTACTTAGAAAATATAGAATTGAAATGAGTGAAATCAGTCAGATGGGATCTTCACGATCTACTCTGTACGAACAGGGTTTACCATGACAATCACATATCTCCTCGTATGTATTCAACCTGACCACAAACAGCCATGAACATAGGCAGAGAAAGAAAAGAAAAAGAAAAGATCTAATACCTCCAACATGCTCAAGACAGAAAGAAATAATACTGCGGCCTATTCCGACATGATGGTCTAAGCTTTACGTGTGCTTCTTCCTCCCAGTAACTAACTACTACGTATAACCCAACTGATGCAATAATTTCCCACAAACAACAAACCAAACCAATTATCTTCCCTCCCATTAAGGGTTCCCATAAACCACAACTTGAACCAGCAGATAGATTACCTACATTAGTCTACCCCCCTTTGTTAAATGAACATGGTAAGCACTAAATCATTCACACAGACATCCATAATACTAAGAGTGTGAGACATATCCCGACACGGGTAAATTGCTTCTCAAGCCTAATTCTGCCTAGATTCAATAACTACTACTAGTACGTATTAATTGAAGGTGTGTGTGTTTGTGTGATAATAATAACAATAGTAATAATATAGTAATATAACAAATAATAATATAGATTGGGACTGGAAACTAACGTCCTGCGTAATATCATATAATAAGTGGTCTAGCCAAGACAAGACAAGACAAAGAGATGGATTCATGCACGTGCAAAAATGCCTACTAGGCAGTTAGGCAGATATCTTTTTGACTATGGAGATGGGAATGGGATCGAATGCCAAGTACTTATCCACTGTTAAGCCAGGCATATGAAGCCATCTTCCATCCATCCATCCATCGTGGGTACCGCACGGAGTAGGTTTTTTTGCATCTAGTATTCTAGTAAGATGGAGTAATTGCCGGCCCGGGATCCCGTAGGCTGAAGATGGGTTTGTGTCCAGTGTCCACACCATACATCGCTTCTCTACTACGTACTCTCTCAGGCGAGTCCATATCCATCCATCTATTTAGTATCTACAAGTGGCACTATAAGAAAAAAAAAAAAAAAAAAAAAAACTAGTCTTGGGCCCCGCCGCACAAGCTGAACTGAACTGAACTGAACTGAACGAACCGCGACCGAGCTTTTTCGCAAAGAAAAAAAAAA